CCCACCCTCCCCCACCCCCGAGTGCACAAATTTTTGTGCACCGGGCCTCTAGTATATAAAATATTTAGGCATAACCTTAACAAGACGTGCAGAATCTATATAAAGAAAATAGCAGTACTGTGTTTCTGCATCGAGACACTGAATATTAAAAGAATGTATTATTTTTTTCAGTTGAACGTACAGGTTTAATGCAATTTTAAACAAATCCCAATGTGTCTGGAGTGGAGTGAAATGGTGTACTCAAAATCTGTTTAGAAGAATAAATGAGGATAACCAAGAAATTTTGAAAAAGAGAAATAATGAGAAGGCATTTATTGTACTATATCTTTAAGTATTTAAAGTATGAAAGATGAGCACTGAAGGAGAGATTGGTGTATGATTAAAACACAATAAATCCATCATAAAGAATGAAGTATTATGTTATGGGTAATTATGTTAACTATTTGGGGAAAACTATGTTGATTCCTACCTTAATAGAGCCTCAAATCTATTTGAGATAGCCCAAAATCTACCTTAGCATCTATCTAAAATAGCCCAATGTATTCTAGATTAATTAAAAAGTGAAACACTAAGTGACTTATAAAAACAGAAGAAACTACAGGTAAATTATTTACTGACCTAAGGATGAGAGAGAACTCTCTAAGCATATAAGAAGTAAAGGAAATCACCAAGGAAAATAACTGACAGCAAAAGTTTCATAAAATTAAAAACATTATGCCAAAAGTCATAAATTTAAAAGGCTTAAGTGGGGGGAAAAATTAGCAACAAATATGATATCAAGGAATGGGATTTCCACTATATTCAATTAACACCTCAAAAAATATTGCAGTTTTGTTTATAATAACAGTAAAAATCACTAACATGATACATACAACTGATAGACTAATATGAAATTGCAAAATATTGTTTAAAGAGAATATTTAAGGAAAACAGAAATCCTTATAAGATGTGTTATTTAAGACATCTCAAGGATTATATTTTGTATACACTTTAAAATCTAAAGTGCTGATGTATAATTATTGGCTAAAGAGTTTTTAAAATCTGTTCATTCTTGTTTCTTCTGCACTTTCACCCCACTCCCTAGATCCCTAGATCCTCACCCCTGCCATCCAAACCCAAAATAAGATAGTTGTATTGTTGGCAAAGTTTTGAAAAGCAAATGCTTTGGGATAAAATTTTTATTTTAAAATCTTTCAGCAAATTCTGTATTCCTCCACTGTGGTCTCCAACCAATGAAGTAATTACTCTTTATATACGGTATATGACCCAAAACTGCAACGGGTAATAGAATTGCTCTGTGTTGCATTCCAATATTTCATACTTTTTTCACTAATGTTCAATACTTTATTAGTATAGAATAAATTGGTACATTTCTTTTATTGTCGTTTTTGCTTTCCTTTATAAACCAGCTTGGATGAAAGAAATATCATAGGGTAGTTAATCATCCAGAGGCCTGGTAGTCTCACTGGTTGTTTAAAAAAAAAAAAGTATTATTAAGGTTTCTTTTTGAAGATGTAAAAAAAAATTACCCATAAAAAAGAGCTATAACTATAAATCTGAGAACATGTGAGATTTATTTTGTACAACTTTTTCTAATGATTCTATATAATTTTTTAAATCTTATATTTAAATAGTCTATAAAACATCAATAACTGCAACATGAAATACAATGATTCTTTAATTGTCACCTACTTTACTATCACATATCACAACAGATAGTTACTATATTTTTCCAAAGAAGTATCTTCTTCCTGGCTTTGCGATATTTAGGAAAATCTAAAGACCTCAAGAATCTATAGGAGAGTTTTACATATTTGGAGAATCCTGTTAATTGATTTCAAACCAAATGACAAGTGCCTCCATTCACTGATTCTGTTCCAAATGGGAACAAGAAGCCAATAGGTCTTGAGATATGTATTGAGGGTATAGGCTCCTCATGCATCCTACAATGGTAATTAATGCTATGTAGGGCCTGCCAAAGTGGTCATTGTCAGCCCTGTTGACATTATAGAAAATGAATCTGTTGAACACCTTTGCTCTATCAGTCACAGCAGGTATACAGAAAGTTTGCTTGAAATATTAATGTTATAAAATTGTTATTTCACTTTCTAGGGTGAGGTTGTCTTAAGAGTGCAAGGTTTGGCTCTTAACATCAGAACTAGCCTAACATGGAACTGTCCCAGCAAACCAGGGCATCTGTTCACCTTACTTATTTCCTAGCAGAGGCATTCAGACTTGCCACCCCAAAGAGCTAATCTTGTTCATAATTTTGCTTTTCCTTTAAAGTCTACTTGCTAGGTAGCTTCTGGCAAAAGGTAAGTGACAAGATTGATACTTGCTATGAGAAACCGTTATACTTTATTATTGACTATAGCTCTTCTGTGAGCAAATATAGCCTCACACAGCAGAAAGTGTACAGTTGTGTTTGGAATATGTTTGTTTGATGTGATTTATTTTTTATGCTAAAGATAGTTTTGGTGCACAACTTTCTTAGTTCATTCAGGAATGTGTCCTGCAAAACAAACTTCCTCTCAGATCTATACTTCTAACCCATGGAAAATATATTTGATAAGAGCTATAAATTGAATAAATGCACACAAAGTGATGTTTCCTCTTTGCCATTATTACTTTTTTTTTCAGATACAGAAAATTATGTTCCAGCCTGAAATCTAGAATACTGAAATTCTCACAGATGCTTAGCGACTCACAGAGAACCTTGACCTACTGAACCTTATCTCAGTGTCTTACTCAATTCTTATTACTTTATCGAGTCCCACCCAGGTTAC